TATAGCCCGTTGATCCTGATCCTGTATTGTACTCTGTTACTTCCTTAATAAACCAATTTACTATAAGTATTGTCTGTGAATTGTGCATGGTCATTGCAACAGATTATTGAACCCAGAAGAGAAGTAGAGAGTATCGTGGGAGGGATGGCTGGTGTCAAAATTGGAAAAAAAAAAAAAAGTTTTTCCATGGTCTCAGAGGGTGGAGGTATGTCTGATCTCCACCTCATGGGAATCAGCTTTGGGCTAATTCTGGTCATTATCCCCCCTGAAGTTAGTTTCTGATGTTACTACTAATACCCTTTTACAACCACCAGTAATGGGCCACATTAACTCATGTACAACCTGATAAGATGCAATGAGAAGAACATATCATCACTTTTGTGATATTCTGGCCAAAATACAAAACCTGAATGTAATCATGAGGAAATCTTGGACAAAACCTGCAGTGCGATGGATCACTTTTGTGTGGCCTTTCTAGCCATGGTCTTGTAACTCCCACCCAAGTGATTGGGCCAGACTGTGTGACAGGGTAATTGTGGCCCACCAAAAGAATTGATTGGTTTTGCCTTGCTGCTGGGTTTGAAATGAGCCACCCCATAGGTGGGAGAGAGGATCCTACCACTACCAAGGAAGAAGAGCCAGCACATCCTTTGGACCCAGGATCCCTGCACTGAGAAGCTCCCAGAACCAGGAGACAGAGAGAGAGAGAGAGAGAGAGAGAGAGAGCTGTAACACTGAAGGCAACGAGAAGCCGTGGCAGGAGAGACCAGCAGCAGAGACCTGGCAGCAGGAGATGGCGTGGTGGGCTTCCTGGTCCATGGAGAGAGAATGCTGAGTGCCTCTGGGCAGAGATTTAGGGCCAGGCCCAGGGAGAGGCGTGCCTGCAAATATGACTGGGAAGACGCTGTTCTGATGGAAGAACTGTATCTTGAGTGTTATTGAGCCTGAATTGTAACTGTTACTTCCCTAATAAACCCTATAATTGTGAGTATTGTCTGTGAGTTCTGTGTGGCATTGCAATTAATTATCTAACCCAGCAAAGAAGTAGAGAGTGCTGTAGGAGGGATAGTTGGTGTCAGAATTGGTAAAGAAGACGAAGAGAGGAGGCATGTCTGACCTCTGCCTCGCGTGAATCAGCCTTGGGCTGTTGATCTTGATTCTCCTTCCCCCTTATGAAGAGAGACGAGATCAGACACCACTCCCACACCATTTTTACAAATCCAGTTAGGGAGACATTCCTCAAACTGACTGGTCTGTAATTTTAAAAAGTGCCAATGTTATGAAAGTCAGGAAAAGGCCAAGGAAGTGCTCCAGGTTGAAGAAGACTAGAGAGAAGTGACAACTGGGTTCAGCGTGTGATTCTGGATTGCCTCCATTGACTGTAAAGTATATTAAGAACTTTATGGAACTTTATAGTTCTTAATATACTTTATAGACCTGAAGAACAAAATTACATGTTCCAAACCAAATTTTTTTATTTATTAATTTTCAAATGTAAATTTTTGTGTTAATATCCAAATTTGAATGTAAATTTTATTTTATACATTTACTTGTTTTATAAATTTTATTTACTGTCCATTATTCAAATGTATTTGCTACAGTAGAACCAAATTTAAAAAGTGACATAATTTTATATCCAGGTAACATAAAATGGCAACAACTAAGTGGAACACAAAAACAAAAGCTCACAGAAGATAAAAAGGATTTGTGAATCCCTAAAGACAGTTCCAAAATTAACTTCCTTTTTCAAACGTAATCAATCAGAAGAGACTTCTTTCATTTAATGCTCGAGTTTAATGAGCGCAAATCGTTGTACTAGTACTGCTAGTGCTGAAATTACTAATACCCATTGCTGTCGAGCCAATTCCGACTCATAGTGTCCCTAAAGGATAGAGTAGACCTGCCCCATAGGGTTTCCAAGGAGTGGCTAGTGGATTCGAACTGCCAACTTTTTGGTTAGCAGCTGAACTCCTAACCACTGTGCCACCAGGGCTCCGAAATACTAATAGTAATATGAACATAACAGAATTTGTTCCAAATTTTGAAACCACTCCTTGCTTCAGTAAAAAATAATAATAATAATAACAATGGCGTAGAAAGTGGAACTGTTTTAGAATCTGAAGTTGTCACATCTGCAGACCCCATAAATAAGAGAAATACAGATCCTGCTTTGTGGAAATTTTTTTTTCTTGTAATGATGTAAATTATTGGATCAAAAAAAGAGGGCCAAGTGGTTGTCAACACATACTGGACCATTTGAAAATTCATGTCAAAAATTTCTGGATGGTAAACAAACAAGGTTCCGTAGCCAGAATATATTTCTAGGGTGCAAAGCTAATGGTGAAAATTATAAGACGGAGTGGCTACTATATTCTCCATCAGTCAGCTCTGTATATTGTTTTGTTTGCAAACTATTCAGTCCTAAATCATTTAATTCTAAATTTGCTACAGATGGATTTAGCAACTGGCACAACTCGAATATGATTGATAAACATGAAAACAGTTCAATTCACAGAGACTGTACGTTGTCATATTTAAACTGAAGACATGGTTTTGGCTTAACTCATGAACTGGAAACACAAATTAATAAAGAACATCAGTATTTGAAAGCCTTTTTGCAATGCGTTGTTGCGGTCATAACAATTGCTAAATGTGGACTACATTTTCAAGGAATAAATGAAGTATTTAGTTCCCCATAACATGGAAATTTTGGGAGTTTACTTGACCTTGTTGCTCAGTTTGATCCATTTTTAGCAGGTCACGTCTCAAAATATAGTAATACAAGAAAGGGCAACCTACTATACTGTGCCTTAAAACAATGTGTGAAGAATTAATAAACTTAATAGGTGATAAAGTTTGATAAACTATTTTCAGTGAAATAAGTGTAGCTCGATATTTCAGTTTGTCTGTAAATTCCACCCCTCTCCTGGTCTTTCTCATACAGATCAGATAAGTATTGTTTTAAGCTGTTTTCCAACAGATGGAAAACCTGTTGAGCGATTTATCACACTTACTAGCTTAAAAAGTCATACCAGTGGAAATTGCAAACCAAGTCCTTCACTATTTACATGAAGTTTGCAAAATTGATTTTTCTAAGTGCAGAGGCCAGTCCTATGACAATGTTGCCAGTATGTCAGGGTGTTATAAAGACATGCAACAGAAAGTTTTTGAACATAATAAATATGCCATTTTCATACCATGTGCTGCACAGTCACTTCATCTCATAGGATGTGGCATAGTAGACTTGTCTGGAAGCAGTTGTTTTTTTTTCCACTGTTCAGCTATTCTACACATTTTTTGCCACCTCTGCTCAACAATGGACAGTTCTTAAAACATATTTAGGCAATGACTGAGTCTTAAAATGTCTTTCTAATACACATTGGGAAGCACAGGCTATAGCAACGAGTGCAATCCTAGAATCATACACTCAGATTCTAGATGGCTTAGAAAATATTGCTGAAGTCCAGATACAAAAAAAAGAAAAGAAAAGCTGAAAACATCACTATGTTGGTTATGTGGAATAATATATTGCAGCATTTTCATCAGACAAGGCAAGCTCTCCAGGACTCAGAAGTAAGTTTAAAGACATGCATAGATCTCTGCCAGTCATTAATATTTACATAATTTGAGAGGATTTTGAAAATTTTGAAAACACAACAAAATGAATACTGCCAAATACTGATTATCAAGCAGTTCACCATTGCAGAAGCATTAGAAAGAAACAAGTAAATGACGAGAGTGCTCCAGAAGTATCATTGAGTGCCAGATCAATTTTGCATAACCACATACTACACCATCGTTGACACACTTGAATCCTACATGAAAAGAAGGGCGAAAGTGTATGAAGTTCTTTCAAATAGCTTTTCCTTCTTAAACCATGGGGATATACCTGATGAAGAACACATGAAGGCATCCAAGAAATTAGCGCAATCTTATCCCGATGACTTAAATACAAACGTTTACAGAGAAGTTCGACAATTTCATTCTTACATGAGAACTAAGTTTACTGATTCAGGAAAGACAAATTTTATTCATGCAGGCATGTATGATTCCACAACAGAAGATAAAATGCAATGCTTATTTCCCAATGTTGAAACTGCTTTACACATATTCCCAACTTTAACGATCACAAACTGCACAACAGAACACTCATTTTCATACCTAAAGAGACTCAAAAACCCTCAGTGTACAACGATTCAGGAAAGACTCCATTCATTATCCTTACTATGTATGGAAGTAGATATTGTTCAGCAGCTTAATTGTGATGAAATCATTGAAGAATTTGTAAGAGAAAAGAAAGAAGGAAATGTTTTTCATTATAACATGTTAAGAGATGAAATATTTACCTAAAAATAAAATATAGTAATTTGTTGTAATATTTGTTTTCTGATCATTAAAACTTCTTTTGTGACATCTTTTCATTTGTTCATTTATAATTATAGTATTTATTATGAAACAAGCATCAAAATTAACGTATGAGCCATTTAAAGCAAAATTGATGGAAGTCAATTTTTCATTGTGGGAAATCAACAGAATTTTACATTGATTGTTGAAACAACTAAGTTCACTGACTCGTTTTCTTTGTTGCAGAATATGTTGAATATTCTTTTCATAGAAAATGTGGTATATAGTAAAAATCTTAGTAGGCCACATCCATGAAAAATCTTATAATCCAGTTTATCTCATTCCACTAAAATGGAACATGCCACTTTTGCATTTAATTGCTGATATCATAGTGCATTTAAAAAAAAGTTACATCATGGATAGCTAAGACACACACACACACATATATATGCATGTATACATATAACTCACATACTTCATTCAAATATGTGAGCAAGCAGAGGCGGGGGCACCACAGATTATCAGGATTTAGGGCCCTCACTTGCCTTAATCAGCCTTGGCCTGATGACATTGGTAATGTCGTGATAGAGGAGGGACAAGGAAAGGGGAGGGTTATTCAAATCTTTCTTTGTAAAAATATCTTTGTGTTGTTTCAGTGGCTGCAGCAAACACTTGTACTTTTGGAAGAGAATTCTAATCAAAAAAAGAAGAGAATAGAAGAGCCAAGCTGGGCTGAGGAAAGGCTGGACATGCTGATGGAGACTGCACTCAGCTCAGGGAAGCTGAGGAAGGGGCTGGGTGTCTGTACCTGTAAGAAGGGTCAGGCAGAAATTGCCTGGGGTGGTGCCAGGGGAAGCTGGGCCAGGACACTGGTGTAATCACTGAGGTCTAGAAAGAAGCTCAAATATTTTCATACCTAAAGAGTATATGATGTAGAGCACCTGAGAGGGACTACTTATGCAGTAGGTCTCAACTGAGGCTGGAAATTAGAATGACCAAGGGAGTGAGCTTTGAAGAAAATTCTATGTCTGAGCCCCACCCCAGACCAATAGGGAATGGGGCCTGGTGTCACTATTTATCTTCAGTACCGAGGTAAATCCTATACGTTGTTATGTTGTTGTTAGTCAGTTCTGACTCATAGTGACCCCATGCACAACAGAATGAAACACTGCCCATTCCAGCTCCATCCTCACAATTGTTGCTATGCTTTAGTACATTGTTGCAGCCCCTGTGTCAGTCCATCTGGTTGAGAGTCTTCCTCTTTTTCACTGACCCTCTACTTTACGAAGCATGATGTCCTTCTCCAGCGACTGGTCCCTCCTGATAACATGTCCAAAGTACATGAGATGTAGGCTCACCATCCTTGCTTCTAGGGAGCATGCTGGTTGTATTTCTTCCAAGACAGATTTGTTAGTTCTTTTGGCAGTCCACGGTATATTCAATATTCTTCACCAATACAATTCAAAGGCGTCAATTCTTCTTTGGTCTTCCCTATTCATTGTTCAAATTTTGCCTGCATATAAGGCAATTGAAAATACTATGGCTTGGGCCAGGCGCACCTTAGTCTTCAAGGTGACATCTTCGCTTTTTAACACTTTAAAGAGGTCTCTCGCAGCAGATTTACCCAATGCAATGCGTCATTTGATTTCCTGACTCCTGCTTCCATGGGTGTTGATTGTGGATCCAAGTAAAATGAAATCCTTGACAACTTCAATCTTTTCTCCATTTATCATGATGTTGCTTATTGGTCCAGTTGTGAGGATTTTTGTTTTCTTTATGTTGAGGTGTAATCCATACTGAAGGCTGTGATCTTTAATCTTTATCAATAAGTGCTTCAAGTTTTCTTCACTTTCAGCAAGCAAGGCTGTATCATCTGCATATCTGAGGTTGTTAATGAGTCTTCCTCCAATCCTGATACCCAGGTATTCTTTATATAGTCCAGCTTCTTGGATTACTTGCTCAGCATACAGATTGAATAAGTATGGTGAAAGGATACAACCCTGACCCACACCCTTCCTGACTTTAAACCATGCAGTATCCCCTTATTCTGTTCGAACGACTGCCTCTTGATCTATGTACAGGTTCCTCATGAGCTCAATTAAGTGTTCTGGAATTCCCATTCTTTACAATGTTATCCATCATTTGTTATGATCCACACAGTCGAATATCTTTGCATAGTCAATAAGACACAGGTAAACATCTTTCTGGTATTCTCTGCTTTTAGCCAAGATCCATCTGACATCAGCAATGATATCCCTGGTTCCATGTCCTCTTCTGAATCTGGCTTGAATTTCTGGTAGTTCTCTGTCAATGTACTGCTGCAATTACTTTTGAAGGATCTTCAGCAAAATTTTACTTTTGTGTGATATTAATGATATTGTTCGATAATTTCTGCATCGTGATGGATCACCTTTCTTGGAATAGGCATAAATATGGATCTCTTCCAGTCAGTTGGCCAGGTAGCTGTCTTCCAAATTTCTTGGCATAGACAAGTGAGCACTTCCAGCACTGCATCTGTTTGTTGAAACATCTCAATTGGTATTCAGTGAATTCCTGAAGCCTTGTTTTTTGCTAATGCCTTCAGTGCAGCTTGGACTTTTTCCTTCAGTACCATCGGTTCCTGATCATACGCTACCTCCTAAAATAGCTGAACGTCAACCAATTCTTTTTGGTATAGTGACTCTGCGTATTCCATCTATCTTCTTTTGATGCTTCTAGTCTTTTAATATTCTCCCCGTAGACTACTTCAACATTGCAACTCAAGGCTTGAATTTTTTCTTCAGATTGAGAAATGCCGAGCATGTTCTTCACTTTTGCTTTTCTATCTCCAGGTCTTTGCACATTTCATTATAATATTTTATTTTGTCTTCTTGAGCCGCCCCTTGAAATCTTCTGTTCAGCTTTTACTTCATCATTTTTTCCATTTGCTTTAGCTACTCGACATTCAAGAGCAAATTTCAGAGTCTCTTCTGACATCCATTTTGGTCTTTTCTTTCTTTCCTGTCTTTTTAATGACCCCTTGCTTTCTTCATGTATGATGTCCTTGACATCATTCCACAATCATTCTTATCTTCGGTCATTAGTGTTCGACACGTCAAATCTGTTCTTGAGATGATCTCTAAATTCAGATTCGATTGAGTATAGGTCATACTTCGGCTCTTGTTGACTTGTTTTAATTTTCTTTAGTTTCCACTTGAACTCGCACATGAGCAATTGATGGTCTGTTCCACAGTCTGCCCCCGGCCTTGTTCTGACTGATGATACTGAGTTTTTCCATGGTCTCTTTCCGCAGATGTAGTCAATTTTATTCTTGTGTATTCCATCTGGCTAGGTCCATATGTATAGTCACGGTTTATGTCACTGAAAAAGGTATTTGCTATGAAGAAGTCGTTGGTCTTGCAAAATTCTATCACGCAATCTCCAGCATCATTTCTATCACCAACTACCAATCCTTCTTCGTTTCCAACTTTCGTATTCCAATCACCAGTAATTATCAATGCATCCAAATTGCATGTTGGATCAATTTTAGACTGCAGAAGTTGGTAAAAATCTTCAATTTCTTCATCTTTGGCCTTAGTGGTTGGTGCATATATTTGAATAATAGTCTTATTAACTGGTCTTCCTTGTAAGCATATGGATGTTATCCTATCACTAACACCATTATACTTCAGGATAGATCTTGAATTTCTTTTGACAATGAATGCAACGTCATTCCTTTTCAAGTTGTCATTCCTGGCATGGCAGACCATATGATTGTCTATTCAAAATGGCCAATACCAGTCCATTTCAGCTCACTAATACCTAGGCTATTGATGTTTATGCATTCCATTTCATTTTTGACGATTTCCAATTTTCCTTGATTCATACTTCGTACATTCCACGTTCTGATTATTAATGGATGTTTGCAGCTCTTTCTTCTCATTTTGAGTCATGCCAAAACAGCAAGTGAAAGTCCGGAAAGCTTGACTCCATCCACGTCATTGAGATCGACTCTCCTTTGAGGAAGCAACTCTTCCCTAGTCGTATTTTGAGTGTCTTCCAACCTGCAGGGCTCATCTTCCAGCACTGTGTCAGACAACGTTCCACCGCCATTCTTAAGGTTTTCACTGGCTAATTCTCTTCAGAAGTAGACTGCTGGGTCCTTCTTCCTAGTCTGTCTTAGTCTGAAAGCTCAACCTAAACCTATCTGCCATGGGTGATCCTGCTGGTATTTGAATACCGGTGCATAGCTTCCAGCATCACAGCAACACGCAAGCCCTCACATTAGGACAAACTGACAGATGCGTCGGGTGGGGGGGGATCCTGTACAGTCTAAGCAAATTGTGGAAATACCATTTCCCTTGCCAGAAACTAGTTTAGGAAGGTACATGTGAAGAAATTTTGGTCAATGAGATATAAAAGGGAAATTTTCTCTTTTCTGATAAACAGTCAGGAAGAGATGCCTGCTAAATATAGTATGCTGTCCTACCTGATATGATGCCTGGAACTGCAGCAACCATCTTGCTACCATGAGGCAAAGCTGGAAAAAGCCAGAATGTAAGCTCCATGAAGACAGATCTCTCTCTCTCTCTTTAATCAGTGTGCATCCCATGCGCCTAGATCAAGGCCAGGTACAAACAGACACTCAAATATTTATTGAATAAAGAACTTAATGACTTTGTTAAGGCACTAAATTGACCAACCCTGAAGTGACTTTCCCCTGAACTTCTTATTATGTGAAGTAATAAATTTCTTTATTGCTTAAGCAATTTGGTTATGATCTTCTGTTATAGCTTAAAGCATTCAACTGATTCAGATAGACAAAACTCACAACAAGAAGTGAAAATCAGTCACATAAATCAGTACAGAGCAAGAAGCAGCTCCTCAGAAAAATGTCAAGTGGAGATGTGGAAAAGAGACTGGCATGGAAGGCAGAAAGAAAGACACACACACACACACTGAGATGGATAAACAGAGAGACCAGAAAATGTGAGGCAGAAAGAGAGAGTAGGAAATCTAACTAAGATTGAGGGAGGAAAGTATTTTTTTAGATTAAACAAAGAAGTAATCATCGTCAGAATTTGAAGTGTTTTAATTCCCATCTAAGTTTTGGACAACAGGTCGCCTTGACCATCCTCTAACTTTTGTTATTATAAACAGGAAAAAGAGATAATTTCTTCTGGAGAGTAAGTGGGGTGATGTTTACAGGAATAAAGATATTTTTATGAAGTAATTCCATATCACAATTCCTTTAAGGATTGTGTTAGTAATGTTAACTGATGTTGTAGTTTTGTCACTAAAGGCATTTATTAATCTGAATCAGTATCTTGGCCTGGGACACGAACTGTCTAAAGCTGGAGGTTACTCTCCTGGCTTTAAAATTAATATCTCCAATGATTCTATACAAATAAAGTGAAGGAGTCACTCGATGGTGCAAATGGTTAACGCACTTGACTGCTAACTGAACGGTAACAGGTAATAAGAAAGAATGGTACCCAAATCCCACTTACCATCCATTCCCTCTGTCTTTTTACATGCATAACAGACAGAGAATTATGTGGAAAGCTTTCAACATAATGCATTCTTGTTTTCAACCCTGGCAAAGTGCTCATTTGCAAAAATCTACTAAAAACCTGTGTTCCCATCTCTTAATTTCTCTTTCCTTCTTGGAGTGGTCTCGCCAACCATCCATTTGCTTGTGACAGAAACCTAGGAGTCATTCTTGACTCTTCCTTCATTTTTACTAATGAGATGCTGAAATTCTAGCTCTGAAATGTCTCTCTGTCCCTCCTGCCATCACCCACCCCATCACAGTCACCACCATCTTTCATCTGGATCAGGCAAATTGTGTCTTAGTTAATCTCCGTATCTCCTAATTGTTCTCCTTGCCTTCAACCTTGATTCACCACCTTCCCACGTCGATATTCCTGTCTACAGGCAGTAATCCTTCTAAAACATGTAAACAGCTTGTCAGTGCATTCAGCAGAAAGCCTGCCTTCTTAAATGGCTCCCTTACTGACATGGCCCCACTTACCTCTCTGGCTTCTTCTCAACAGAGAACACCTTGTACTCCACACTCAGCCATCTTGAACCGCTTTCAGGTTCCTAAATGGACTTTTCCCCTTCCTGGAACTTGTTTGTTGCTTTGCACAAAGCTAACTCTTACTCATCTCTCAGTTGTCAGTTTAGGCTTCCTCCAGGAAGACGACCTTGACCAGCACCATCCCTTCTCCAACTT